AGGGATTGTGATGTGGCCATCCCCCCTAGGGGGTGATTTCTCGCTTTCTGTCTCTCTGTCTCTCTCTGTCTGGCAAGCACACATGACCATAAAAAAAAAAAAAAAACCTCCAAAAAAATGCACGCGTGCACACACATATAAATAAGTAATAAAATGCAGGTTGAGATTCTGATTCATACACTCGGGGAATGCTGACACCACGTCCTTTTGGGTCCTGTTATGAGCAGCAAAGTTATATACATCTAGGCCTCTAGACAGTTCACTGAGGAAGGAACCTCAGTACCAGTTTCAAAGCTGTAGCCTTTCAAGGCAAGTCAGCTTCTTATATAGAGGTGACTGCCTATGTCCAGAACTCAGAGAAAACCAGAAACCCTGCCACATCAAAACTTTAAAAAGAAGAAAAGGGGGAAAAAAAAAAAAAAAGCTACCACAAAGAACAGACAGCCCAGAAATAGGGAAGGAAGGTCTGATCCTTTGACTTCGTCATGGTAGAGCAGGCACAAGGAAGCACAGGCAACCTCACGCCCAAAGGGCTGTGCAGACTCCAAATACCCAGGATGCAGACCCTACCCTTAGTTACTCTGCCCCGCACCTCAAGGGTTCATCACTTTTGAAATACATCTAGATAAGGACCCACTATAAAAATTCAGGTACTGGGCCAGCCAGGGGACCTGGTAGTTAAGGCAGCTGAGCCCACATGGCAGACATGTGTGCATGTGTGCCCAAAATCCTGAGAGGAGAATGGAGAAGAAGGGATTGCAGCATGGCCATCCTCCCAGGAGGTGTTTTCTCACTTTCTCTTTCTTTCTCTCTCTCCCAAGCAAGGACATATGTCCTATGGCAAAAACCTAAAATAAATAAATAAATAAATAAATAAAAAGAGAGCGAGAGAGAAAAAGAAAAGAAAGTGGACTTTCATGAATTTCATTACATTTATTCCTCAGCATACCTCCAGGAAGGACTGACTTGGACGGATAAACTGAGAGGGTAAGAAATTTCCCCAGTGCCACAGGACAAGTCAATGAGGCTGAGCTGCTGCCTTGCCAAATTCTGTACTTCACCCGCCCAGCCTGAGCTCCATGCACTCAAGGCTCCTCTGAACACCAGGAGTGTAGCTGCGTCCTTCGGTAATTGATGTGAGACCACCCTCACCCTTCACCATCCTCCACAATGTCTGAGAAAAGACATCCCTGATAACAGCAACCCCTAGGCCTGAATTACAGGCTGCGGAGTGTTGAGCAATCTGCAGGACAGCCTGTCCCAGAACGTGACAACTCAATTTCCCCAAAGAAACAAGAGCCAGGAAAGGAGATGGGTAGTGACCACAACTGACCATTCAGTGGTTGAAGTTAAGAATCCCAGTTTTCAAAAGCCTAGCCTTCTTCTCCTCCACCATGTTTATCACAACAGGGATCTCGAAGTTGGGGAAGGAACTCCGCCATTTATTACCCAAACTTCAAAATGGTCTAATTCACAAACCTGGCCAGGCTACAGCCTGGACTGCAGCCTTATTAACAGTAGGGTCTCGCTACGACTCCAGTTAAACAAAGAGATGGAAAAACCAGCACCAAGAACCCAACAGCTGGCAGGCCGGGAAGATGACGGATTAAAAATACCCCTGTTCCCTGGAGTCATGCATCTGGGGGGTAGGCTGAGTCTCGAGATTTCACTAGAAGACGGCAGACGCCTCAGTCTTGGCTGAAGCTGTTTACAGCACATGGACAGGTCCCACACCAAAGCACATTTGGTGGAATTGATTTAAGGCTCTCATTAAAATGTTCCTTTGTTGAGCACAAGACATCCCCCACCCCTGGAGGAGATTCCAGACCTCCTGTCCCAAGTGCTCAGCCTGCCCTAACTTCCCCACAAGACCCCCACCCCCTCTGCTAAACACCCGTCACCGGATTAACATCGATTAACATCAGAGTTGTCTTCTCACGGAAGGAATTCAGGAATTTAGCATTTGCTGAACAAGAGCCCCGTCTCCACCAGAATCTCCCCTACACTCCAGAACTCTCACCGCGGAGGCAAAGGCAGCCACCCTCAGGCAAACACACACCGAAACCCACCCAGACGACCCAGGAGGCCTGTGCTGGGGCTGCTCGCCCATATGGCTGGGCCCCCCATCCTGGCTGCATAAAAAAAACTCCCATACTTCCTCTGGGAGCAGATGTGGGCTGTGCCATGAGCAATAACCACCACACATCACAAGAGACCCAGGGCGACTCTAGAAACATGTCTTGCGAATCCCGAATCCCAGAGCTGGCTTTTACCTCCTTCCTGGGTTTTCTGGCCTTTTACAGGGGGTGAGGGAGACGCTGATCCACCAGCATCAAGACCTGGAACAGCTGGCAGGCCAGGAAGATGTCAGAAAATAATTCCCTACCCACAGCCTGCCCACTGCCACTCTTCAAAGCAGGCGGAAAGTGATAAGCTGGGACACGTTCCCTGGGCACAGTTCCCCAGGCAGGGGCTGCTTCCAGGACCACCACCAGATTTGTGTGGTGGGGGTGGGGGCCCTATTTCCTGTCCAGGCTGGTGGGATGTGCGGGAAGCTTGGCGCTTTCTTTAAGGCATTTCAACACCTTGGTGGTGACTCTCAGGTGTCACTAAACCAGGAAATAAAATGGGGGGGGGAGAGTCCTGTCCGCTGGGGAGATGAGGCCACGCCCTCATCAAAATGCCCTCCGAGAAAAGACAGAAGGAGCTCTTTTTGGCCTTTCTGCCCTTAGAGAGAGAGATTTTCTTTCCTCTGCGAGGAGAGACAGGATGGAAATCCAGGAAAGTGCAGAGTGAATCCCGTCCGCACCTTTGCAGACCAGCCATGCCTGATTTTGGCAGCGGCCTTCACACATAATCACCGCGACAGCCTGGGACCCTCCGCTCCCCGGATTCGACCCTGACACGGAGTGGGTCCAGGGCTCGGGCCCAAGAGCTCGAGAAAGGGCAGCCCCTAATTCTTTCCTGTCTCCGTCCTCACAGGCTGGGCCATCTGGGGTCCCAGCTTTGCCCAGCAACTTGGAGGAGGGAAGCCGGGAGTGTGGGCCAGCGTAGGTAACAAAGCTCCGCGCTTTGCGCGCCCCAGGGCGGTCGGGCGTCCGGCCCCAGGCCGGCCTCCCTCACCTGGGCTGAGCCGGCCGAGGGACTCCGGCTCCCCAGCGCCAGCCACCAAGCCGCACTTCCCCCCAATGGAGGGCTCGCTTCTCTCCCCAAAAGAAACTCCCATCCGGCCCGGGAGCCGATAACTCCCGGCAGTTCTCGAGCAAACAAACTCTCGGGTCCAGC